CTAAGTCCCTGGAAACTACTGACCTATATTCCTTCCCAGTAGTTTCACCTTTTCACAATGTCACCCAAATGTAATTTTATGTTCACGTAGTAAAATGCATTGAACATTTATTCCTTTTGTTGAGTGAATTATAAATTTGTTACTTTTATTTGTAAATAATGTTGTGGTGCATGGACACCCCACAGTTTTTAACCTTTAACCTATCAAAAATATCTTGATTGCTTCCAGTTTGGGGTGATTATGAAAAAAGCCACTTTAAAATTCATGTGCAGTTTTTAGGTGAACATAAATTTTCAAACTCATTGAGTAAATCCTTAAAAGTGCAAATGCTGCTTTGTACAATTAATCTATGTTTAACTCTACAGAGTGGTTAAAGTCTGTATAGAAGCATTTTCCATCACCATGAACAATGAGTGAGAGTTCCTATTGTTCTGAATCCTTTCTTTTTATTAAATAAGATCAAAACTAAGACTCTAGATATTCCTAAGTAAGGGCCAAAACTCAGTCCATGTGATTTCTATCCAATGACAATGCTTTTTTCTCTAGCTTTTCTACTAATTCACTATGCTCTACCTCTCTCTCTCTCTCTCTCTCTCTCTCTCAGAGATTTTTGCTCTAGAGTACATGCTCTCACCAGAGAGCCAGAGAGATGGAGAGACAGAAAGTAAGAAATCACCCCCTGGAGGGATGGTCACAGTGCAATCCCTTCTTCTCCATTCTCCTCTCAGGATCTTGGGCATGCACACACGCATGCCTGGCATGAGTTTTAAGCCACTGGGTACTGGACTTGAATCACAGTCAACTACGTGGGAGTCCAGCAGCAGAACCATTACACCATATGCTGGTCCTGATAACTTTCAATACATTCTACTTTTTTACATTTGCCAAAATAGTTTTCTAGGTTTTACCAACAAGCAAATCTACCTGCTGTACACTCAATGAAGCAAATGAAAATGATGCTTAGAATGAAGTACACAAGGTGATGAAGTAATACTAATTGATTTGTTGCAAATGTTGATAATTAATAAAATAAATCCTTGAAATCTAGAACCATATTCACCATAGTCAAAAAAGACTTTCGTTCTATAAAAAAAAGTTACAGTAGCCTTTGAATTTTTTTTTTCTAATTGGAATACATAAGAATTAGAAAAGCAACATTTTTATTAAGAGTATGTTAAATACTAGAAAACATTTTTGGCTCTACTACTCCCATCCCTCCTTATTTTTCTCCTCCTTTTCTAACCACTCAATGGAGAACTTCCACCCACCATTCTTCCCAGCTCCTGTGTGGCAGAAGCATGCAGACTGAGGCCACAGATCACCCTGGAACCTAAACACTATTCAACCACTCCAAGTGTGAGTCCCTTTTGCTTCCAACTTTCATCCAGCCATTCTTCCCAGTTCCTGCGTGACAAAAGTGAGTGTGTGGACCAAGGTCAGAGACCTCCTTGGAACCTCCACTCTCTCCTGTTTGTCAGACTTTATAGTTTTCTGAAGTGTTGCGCAGGACCCATACTTTCTTTCTCAGTTGTAACCCAGTAGCTCAGCTCCAGGTGCATCTGTTCTCTAGAATCTGGGAGGCATTTGGAACACCAAGTCCCTGCAACAAATGTGCAGGTTACAGGCTGAGCTTTAGGAAAACAGGGTTACAAAGAGATCACAGATCACATCCCCTGCATGCCATTAAACACTCAAAATTAACTCTAAGAAATTAGGAAGAAACTTATAATCCATCAGATGACCAGAAACCACCACAGAGGCACAAGAAATATGAGAAACCAAAAAATACCTCTTCCCCTAAGAGTAAATAACAATTCCTTATCATCCTCAATTAGCTCAGTGGAACTCGTGGAAATGCCAGGTAACCACTAAATAGAGTTGCAGGCTCACAATGGTCACTGAGACCTATTAATAAGTTGATTGACTGTATTATGTTTTATACTATTGAAGTAAGCAAATGTACATGAAACAGTACATCTGCATCTTCCCAAGTACATTATAATTTTATCTCACAGTATACAATGAAAAATGTGAAATAGGAGCAAACCCTTGATATTTTTCTTTAGCAATTATTTCTGTTGATTTTATTATGTTCAGAGATTTGAAGTACTATAATTTGTATTTGAAAGCATATGCCTGAATCAAGAAAATCATAGTGAAAGCAAAAATATTACTCAAAATACATGCATTAAAGTATAACATCAGTAACAACTATCAGGCAAACAAGTGTTACGTGTTATTTAAATATTAAACATACAGCAGCAAAAATTGTAAACATATAAGTAACAACTATCAAAGAAAACTAAATAATGCCATACAAACTGGTGAAAGTGGCCTGAGATATCTAATGCAATTTTGTCACCTCAAGATAGACTATCAATACGGAAGACTTTGTTTTTCTGGGTTTGGATATCCTCTGTTTAGAAGATTAGATACAGCGTGGGATCAGCTGATGGCATAATGATTATGTTGTTGTACTCCCACACAGTCAATCGCAGTTTGAGTCCCGGCCTCATGACTTAAAACTCATGCCAGGCGCATGTGCATATGTGCCCAAAATTCTGAGAGGAGAATAGAGGAAAAGGAATTGTGGCATAGCCATCCCCCTTCCTGTGGGGGGTAGGAGGTGATTTATCGCTTCCTATCTCTCTGTTTCTCTCTGTCTCTCCAGCAAGTGTATGCACCCTATAGCAAAAATCTCTCTCTAAAATAAAAGATTAGATGCAGAATATCTTTCTCTATCTACTTGGTATGGTGACAAATACATAACAATACTAAAAATAAATTATTGTAAAATATAATTGAACACCAATGATTTATTGAGTTGTTTTGTTAATCTCAAGATAATACCAAAGAAAATATTATACCATAACTTTTATTCAAGAATTATGGACCCAGAATTCTGTAAGTAGATTTTATAAAAGAATTCAATATTATAACTCAGAATCAACCCTGCCCTAGGTGGTATGTCTGTTAATCATAAAAGATACTAAAACATTTTTTCTGCTCACTATCTCAATAGACTCAGAGAAAAAAATAAATTAAATAAAATGAAAATCTGTATTCTTCCACCATCATAAAACTATGCCAATGCCAAAAAAGAGTGAGGAGATATTTCCATTAAAAGAATGGGTGCAAATTTTACTGATACCCAAAATATTAAGATATAACACTGATCTTATAGAAGAGTGAATGATTAACTAGTAACACTCCTTTAGTAAAAATAATTCATATTATTCCCAACTTAAAGTATTCTTAAATTACTCAAGTTTGGCCCCGCATTAAAAGCAAACTGGAATTTTCAAAATCAGTGGGCCCACTAGTAAAGAAATCACAAGAAAGTAGAATTAGGATAAAGTTTTTTTGTTCCACAAAATTTTTCTCAAAGCTTGTTTGACATCCTTGTTTCTTAGAGAATATATCAGAGGATTTAACATGGGTGTGACCAATATGTAAAATACTGAAGCCACTTTACGAAGTTCAGGATTGTTTGGAGGTGTGAGATACACAAAAGAAACGGTCCCATAAAGTAAGCTTACAACTCCCAGATGGGAGCTGCAAGTGGAGAAGGCTTTCTTTCTCCCTTCACTGGAGGGAATCTTCAAGACTGTGGACACAATGTACATATAAGAGACTACAATAACAACTATTGTAGGCAAAATAATCAGGGCAGCCATACACAGAGATACTATCTTATTGACAAAGAGATTAGAACAGGAAATCTTCTCAATTTGATAAGAATCACAATAGAAGTGATCAATAACTCGAGATGCACAAAAAGACACTGAGAATGTTACACTGACTTGGAGGATAGAACTAATCCAGCCACAGAAGTAGGAACCAGCCACCAGCTGAGTACATAGGCGTCTAGACATATGGACACTATAAAGAAGAGGATTGCAGATGGCACTGAAGCGGTCATAGGCCATGGCTGCCAGGAGAAATGCCTCTGTTACAATGAAGAGGGCAAAAAGGAAAAGCTGAGCCGCACAACCTACAAAGGAGACAGTCTTTTCGTCAGACAGGAAGTTGACCATGGCCTTAGGTGCAATAACAGTGGAATAGGAGAGGTCAATGAAAGACAAATTGCCTAGAAAGAAATACATTGGTGTGTTCATATGGGAGTCAGTCACAATGATTGCCATTATACTAATGTTCCCCAAAATGACCATGCCGTAGACCAGCAGGAATAGGAAGAAAAGAAGAATGTGAAACTCTGGACGGACCCTGAAGCCTGCGAGAATGAAGTCTGTAACATCTGATTGGTTGTCTGCTCCCTTGTCACGCATGGCAAGAACCTGCTGAAAGGAACAAGACAAGTTTAAAAATGGAACTTTCTACCTACAACTTGGTATTATAAAATATCCCTTTTCTCTTAAAACAGTCATTGAAATTTGTGTTGTCATCTCCTTTAGCCCAACCAATTCTGTTAGGTATGAATTACTACCCTTTTAAAAGAACTGAATATGAGGAGTTAAGTATTGTAATTGCCCACATTATGTAATATGTAAGTACCAGACTCATGGTTTTCCAATGTGTTCCTCCAAACCCTGAGTTTTTCCCATTATAATACATGTGCCTTTCATTTCTGTTTGCTTGTTTGTTTCTGTTTTGGTTTTTGCCATAGGGCATGTGCACTCACCAGAGAGTTTGACAGAGGGACAGTGAGAAATCACCTCCTAGCTTTGGTTTTTATGCCACAATCCCTTCTCTTCCATGCTTTTCTTTTTTTTTCCTTTTTTTTTCTTTTTTTTTTTCTTTTTTTTTTCTTTTTTTTTTTCTTCCATGCTTTTCTAAGGATTTGGTGCATACACCACACATGCCTGGCATGAGTTTCAAGCCACCAGGTCTGGGTCTCGAATCTCAGTCAGCCATGTCAGAGTGCAGCGCCTTAACCATTACACCACCTACTGGCTTCTGTGCCTTTCAGTCTTAAAGAATTATTTCTTTATACCTGTTTAGCTTCACACTTTATTTACATGGCAAGTTTAAAATATCTCAAGGTTTTGAGAGATATAGACGTACTTATTCTCATCTTAGTTTAACATGTCAGACTCATTTTACCCTCAAAAATGCTCTTATAGGGGGCCCCGCGGCCCGGGAGCTCACGCCCCCTGCGCAGCCGCACACGGGGAACGGCTGGGCGGGGCGCCTCGCGGGCG